TAATGATTAAAAACGTTAGAAAAAAGTTTAATTTTATTTTAAAATATTCGTCGGGAAAAATATCGATTTTAAAATTATCATCGCTTAGTAGAAAATTGAAGAAAATGTATGAGTATGAGGAATAATTAATAAGTGCTATTAAACAGTATTAATACACTCACCATAAGTTGGCTGGTGGCTGGGGCGGCCTTTGCGACGGCTTTGATGGCCTTGGCAGATTGGACTTGTCCGACGACAACGATGTTCNTTTAATTTTTTTTTTAAATATTCGTCGCGAAAAATATCGATTTTAAAGTTATCATCGCTTAGTAGAAAAATGAAAAAAATGTATGTCTTTGAGGAATAATTAATAAGTGCTATTAAACAGTATTAATACACTCACCATAAGTTGGCTGGTGGCTGGAGCGGCCTTTGCGACGGCTTTGATGGCCTTGGCAGGTTGGACTTGTCCGACGACAACGATGTTCATGGATACCTTTTCAGCGCCCATTTTTGATATTTGGTTTTGTTTTCGTGAAACGAAGTGAAGACTACAAACAGGAATAAAAAAAAAAAAAAAACAATAATAAAATCAACCGATCAGAAAATGAATTGTTTTCGTTCTCGTATATATATTATAAAAGTTGTGAGTACTCACCAAAGAATAAAATTGCACAAAAAGATGTGTTATGTCTGAATAGAGATCTCGAATCCGTATTTATACTGTTTTAAGCACGAGGAGAATAAAACGCAGGCGGGGAAGTGGCGTGATGAATTTTCATATGTTACCACGTCACACTAGGTAGGTACGTCACTTTAATTAGGTACCTAGTTTTGTTCTTAACGGTACACGGTATGGTTATCGAATATCGCGTGATTTAAATACAAAACAAATACCAATGTAAACACAATATTAAAAAGCCGAGCAACTTCGCACGTGGGTGGTCTACTGTTGTAGGCAGTGTTGTATTGGAGGTTGTACGAGGGTATACGGCATATACTCAATACGCTATTTTTATCCATGGTGTAAAGCTTATGGGTATACGGCGTATCTACACCGTATATCCTGTATGACAATTATAAATATCTATTATATATATTTATATAAATTATTGTAAAATACATTTTGATGAGCATGAATTGTAATACTGGACGTAACACGTAACACGCAACATTTTATTTTTTTTTTTTATGAAAATTTATTTTCATTTAAAAATTAAGGTTTTGTTATCAGTCTTGTTATCAAGCATTCATAATCAAATTGTCATTCATAAAATTAATATGTTGTGGGGAGGACTTCGGTCGACCGAACGTCCAAATACCGCTTTCATTTATTATAATATTTAATATTTTACTAATGTATTTCGTACATTTTACTGTTTTTCTTTCGTGCTTTCGGTTTTTTACATTTGACGAGAAATCTCCTAAGAAAATCGAAAATATACCTCCCTAAAGTATCTCCCCAGTCCGATTTTCTTTCAAAAAGAAATGCTAATAATGTACATTGGATTGGAGCAAGGTTTCTGGTAGAAAAGTTGCAAATAGATAGAGAAAAAAGTAAATAAATAAATATCTTTTTAAAATCATAAGCTTCTTCGCTCCACTCAGAATCTAAAGGAGTCACTGTTCAAGCGAAACGAGAACAATTTTTTTTTGGGCCCTATCTTTAGATCTCCATATATAGCTCTATGTACGTGAATAAGGCGTATTATTCAATTAAATATGAATATATTAATATTCATATATCTATATATTTATATTTTGAATATAGATATATATTCAATTTATCAATCTGTAAGCAACGATAAATCGTTGCTAACGCGAAAACGGTTCTGAGCGGGATTCAGTTGATGATAAAATCATTACATATATGCATTTACATTTTCTTAAATAATATTTGTATAATATTGTATCGATTTTCCCGTTTTTCCTAAGTTTTTCCCGGTTTTCCCATTTTTTTACTGGTTTTTCCCATTTTTTGGGAAAATAAAAAAACAACTTCTCTAAAGAATTTCTGGTGGAAAAGTTGTTTGAAGGAAATAAAAAATAAACATCTTTATAAAGCCACAAGATTCTCCGCTACACTCAAAATTTAAAACAGATCATTTATTGCTGCATATCATGAATGTATTTTTTTTTTGTTAATCTAATAGGAGAAGTTGGAAAGGAAGATATATAGAATTTTCAATTTTATATTCATATACCATAATACTGTGAATGTTCGCAGTTAGTGAATGCTGATTTTCTTTAAAAAGAAAATGAATGATATATATTTACACACATACGTATTACACACGGCGAGTAAAATTATATATAGGTTCCTATAAAAAAATGTATTTATTTAAAACTTTTAATATGATATGCTACAGCGTTTAAGAAATTTTCGATATGATTATTATCGAGAATTTTTATCTATAACCGGCGCCTGGCGTATGCTTTACGAGTTCATAATATGCTAGAGCCATAGCTTTATTGTTGATATTTTTTGATCTTGATTTGTTGATTTTTATATATTTTGTACTTACACTACAATAGTAGTAATTTTTGTTAAATTTTCTGCACTTTGGCAAACATAATGTCACCCTTTCCGTCAAAAGCGCGCACAACGGCGGTTGCACCCATCCCCCGTAGAAAGAGCTGTTATGGTATCAGTTTTATATCAGCTCTTTTAAATTATATTTTTATTTTTTGTCTTTGAACAATTTTTCTACTAGAAAACTTGTTCCGAAGTATTAGTGTATACCGCATTTTTTGAAAGATAATTTTCGAATTGTTGGTGCAATTTTTGATTTTTTAATAGATTCTCAAAATAATTGTTTAAAACCCAAAAGAAAATTATAAATAAAAAGACAAATATTTACGGCATGCCGTAGTTGCATTGTTACTGTTTTAGTTGTTTTTAATTGTTGCAAATTATATTTTCTACCAAAAGTATTACTCTAATCAAAAAATGGCAAGTAACTTTTTTTATTTTTTTAAATATATAGCCACTGAAATAGAAATATGTTATCCAATAACTAAAGTAGATTTCATAAAAAGTGATAAAACCAAAAAGGACGAAATATACGAATTTTTTTTTCTCATTACGGTGCAACGAAGTCATTATTTGAAATGTTTAAGATTATATTTTTCTACTAGAAATCACAGTCAAAATTTTAAAGATAAGGTACTATGTGAAAGAAAATGTGACTTGACATAGTGAAATATTGAGTTGTGTTAAAAAGAATTTAATCACGCGAAACACGTTTAAAACAAATGTAGTTACCCAATCAAAGTGGAGTATGTATGAAATTCATCACGCCACTTCGCCGCCGGCGTTTTAATCTCCTGCTAAAAACAGTATAAATACGGATTCAGAGTCTCTGTTCAGACACAACACATCTTTTTGTGCAATTTTATTCTTCGGTGAGTACTCACAACTTTTATAATATATTTTACGAGAACGAAAACAATTTATTTTCTATTCGGTCAATTTTATTATTATATTTTTTTATTCCTGTTTGTAGTCTTCACTTCGTTTCACGAAAACAAAACCAAATATCAAAAATGGGCGCTGAAAAGGTATCCATGAACATCGTTGTCGTCGGACAAGTCCAATCTGCCAAGGCCATCAAAACCGTCGCAAAGGCCGCCCCAGCCACCAGCCAACTTATGGTGAGTGTAATAACTGTTTAATAGTACTTATTAATTATTCCTCAAATACATACAATTTTCTACTAAGCGATAATAATTTTAAAATCGATATTTTTCTCGACGAATATTTAAAAAAAAAATTAAACTTTTTTCTAACGCTTATAATGATTCTTTTTTTCCACTAGAAATGCATATTAGTATAGATATGATTTTTTTTATTTTATAACACAATGTTAAAACGCGATGCTATTATAATGTATCGGTACTTATAAAAAAAAAAAAAAACGATAGCCAAATCATTTTCTCATACTACACGATACCTGAATATCCAAATGTGTTGGTTTTCAAATTTTCAGTATAATACATTTTTCAGAACGAGGATAATTTATCATATTTTATATATTTTAAATAAAATTATTTACACATTTTTGGCTACACTAAATACTAAAATATTTTATATTACTTATAATTATTTATTTTGTTTTTTTTCAGTCCTGTTAATCTCATGTAGTCCATACATTGCAAACTCAAAAATGCCATAGTCCAAACAATGCGTATTATGTGTGTAATTATTAATTAATAATATGTGTAATATGTATTGACACCTCAAAATAAACCAGTCTAATCCGTTACATCACGTTTTTTATTTTTTTATTTGTTCATATTTGTATAATACCTATTTGATTAAAGGTTCTGGTAAATTAACATATACGAATAAAAGTTGTTAATATGTTCAACAATAATTTGAAATTATCAGTACCTAGATATATATTGAATATCTATTGAATAAAATCCTGTATTAATGTTTTTCTTAAATCAAACGGATATACTTGGCACGATGTATAGGCCAACTGCAGTAGGTGAGAAGTAGTAATGGTAGAGATAAAATTTAATGTATATCTGTAATCTTTGCAAACGAAAAACGATTTTGATCCGAGTTCAGTTAAACATGTTTTATATTACATGTTATTATNTGTTGCAACACGACAAATTGTCATGCCATTTAATGTAACATAAAATTCTAACATATTTTTAACCACATTTTTTTGTGATGCACTTTCTTTTGCAATTACATCACGTATATCTTTGCCTATGAATTTAGAAATTCGATGCAGAAACTTGCATTGAGGAAATTTGTTGATCCCTTAGTACATCAGCGATTGATATTAAATTGTCTTTATATAGATACTGAAATTTGATTTCTGGTGTATAATTGATTTACAACCCCATTTTTGATAGCTAATTTTTACGAATCATTATCTGCTTTACCTAATACTACGGCTTACATATTTTGAGAAACCATTTTACTACAATCAACATTTGGAACTTGAGTACCGACAATTTCCCCAACTTTAGCTGGAAGAAAATTTTGTTTTAAATTAAAGGACTAACAAGTTGTAAATTACCTATACTATTGTATAAGTACTAATTCGTATGTTTAGATTAATAATAACTGTATTATTATTGTGGCTTATCCGCAAAACAATATCTGCATTACCAAAATTCACCAAAATCGTTATACAAATATCGATATTCACTAAAGAATGTTTACAAATAGTACAAATTTAATCAATGTGCCAAAATTTATCAATGATTGGTGTATGTCGACATTAACTGGTGACTGACAGCATTAATCGACTGCGGATATTCACAGTAACATGTATATATATATAAGAGCAATTATGTTACTTATTATTTTATATTGTCTTAGTGCACATACAAAGATACAAATGATTCATAGAACCATCGATAGAAATAATTGATACGGATGAAGAATATCTAAATTCTCGATTCTAGAACCATAATAAACCTATATAATATTATTTGAATTTATAAATTATACGCAAAAATGACAGATATACTTTAACACTGTATGTTGCACCATCGAAGATGTGTTAGTTGGTAAGGTAAGATTATGGGTTGTAATTTAATTTCTCTGTACGCGATAAAAAGAATGAACTAATTTCGGTTAAATATGTATAAATAGACTTAAATTGGTAAGATAAGCGGGTACAAATTCCTCCAGTATGGGCTCCCACACCGATTTCCTTTCAGAAAAGGTGCTACTATTAGAAATATGGACCAACCTCCTGGTAAAAAAGTTGCTTATAAGCAAAAAAAAAAAAACATCTTTATAAAACCATAAGCTTCTTCGCTCCACTCATAATCTAAAATTAATATCAAAACCAATAAATTCTTTGCTACACTCAGAATCTAATATGACATATGCTATCGATTTTGGCTGAGATTGGACCCTGAGATTGAACCTTTTGAATTGGACGAATCATATAGGTTCCTAAGTGTAATACATTTTTTTCAATGGAAAACAATTGATAGAGTAGAAGAGAAAAATGAAGTGTTGGGAAATAATTCTTCTAAAAAAAAAAAATAAACTACAAAAAAAATTCCCAAATAAATGCAAATAAACTGTACTGTGATTTTCGGAATCAAAAGCCCAATGCCATTGATCCAATAAATAACCGTGCTAACTGTAATTCTAATTGTTTATTAAATAATTTCGTTCCCAAGTAACCTAACTATGTATTTTTTTTTAATTTCAAATTAAACCCACTAATAATATTACTTTTATTTTTGTTGCTTACGAAAACTCATATTATATTCGTCATAAAAAATATTATTCATTATTATTATTTATCAGTGTTTTTGACAACAGCGGTACTTATACGATGACTTTTTTGTTGACATCTCAAGATGATCTTACCCAGGGTGAGTCATCAAGTGACCAATTGTCCTTCAGTTTTAACTTTTTTTACGTCAGACGAGTACGATGAACGGTCAGAGTCTGTTAACGATAGTTTCCAAAAGAACGCTGTGGCCATTAATAATAAACCAACGTCGTCGTTAACATTATCGAAGATTCTCGCATCACCGCATGTAAATTCGTGTTTACAAGAGAAGACGGTAGCCAAAGCCAAATCGCCGAAGATCGGTGTTTCGCGAAACACTACTACTGCGTTACCAAAGAAGGTAGTGAAAAGTAACGAATTGCCGAAGATTAATGTAGGTGAAATGTGTGTAGGTGAAATGATTATGTGGTGAAATCGAACTCCTCGTCCGTCAGTACGAAACTCTTAGCTCAGACGACGGCTACCGACATTCGTGGTGATTCTTTGGCAAACAAACGTGGCGTGCTCACCCGAGGTACCGCGTACAACAGTCGGTCGTCGTCGGCACGTCGAACTGAAACTGTTAACAGCCCACAGATGTACATTAAACTTCTCGCCAACAACAGTGGCGCACCAACGTGTGCGAAGCATGTTTTTATTGTTCTTTTATTTCCCGTTGAAACTATTTGCCAAATAAATACCGTATTCAACATTCGGTACGATTCCATACGGATTTATTGTCCGAAATATCGGCGCGTTTCACTATCCGTCCGTTTTCTGTAGTCGCCGTCCGCGGAATTCGACGAGCAGCCGGCGTACGACCAGTGGTCGGCCCCGTGTGGTTACGTGGAGCACGACTACGGGATATCGGCGGCCTCGTTCGGATCAGACACCAACAGTCTGCAAAGAGCCGGGTCGCATCACTGCGTAACCCAGTGGGACAGCGTAGAGAGGTCAACGGGACGGACGGCTATTTTGACGCGGCGTCGTCCAACGTGCCCCGGCGGTCGCGCCGCGGCGACGGTGACGCCGCGAACGTAACGCCAAGCCGCAAACCGTTCGGGCGTTTCCGGTCGGGCCGTGACGCAGAAAAGCACGCCGCGGGGAAATCCGCGGTCGGAAAACCGCCGAATTCCCGTGGTTGGCTTCCGACGACGCTTCCAAGTTTGCGCCGGCCAAACAGTCCAAAATCAAAACGATGAACCAGGTCATAAACGTTTACCTCACGCCGCTCGGCGGAAGTCCCAAAACGCCCGTCCGGAAAGCGTGCTCTTCGGTCGGCACCTTCTGATTTTTAAATCCATATTAGCGGCTCCCTTCGGAATAATGATAATGATAAAAATAATAAACTAAATAAATTCACTGTATTACTCTACTATATTTACCGGTATCCTAGGAACCGCCAATATAGACTATCGTTATCAGTCATCATATTGGTTTGACACCTCTCAACTCTAAATTCACTTCTATGTGGTTTTCTATGCAATTTTGAGCAAAGCCGGTTAAATTCTATTAATCAATCACTAACCAGCGATTTGCTCGAAAGATTTTCAATGAACTCGATATCTGACTTTTTTTCTTTTAAGTATATAATCATGAAATCGTTACGCCGTAAATATTTGTTCGTTTATCCCTACGTTTCCCCTATGCGTTTTCTCGATTTTTTCCAATAATTATGAAAACCTACTTGGAAAATCAAAAAATTAAAAAGTGGATTTTCGGATTTTCGGATAATTCGGTTTTATATCACATCACCACTATGCATGGCGGGTCGGGTTAATGCGTATATGTAATTGAACTTCTATAATATAATCCATGGATATAATACTTTTAATATAATTCAATCCAGTTGGAATGTCGTCAATAGGTAAAAAAGCTGGAGCGGCAATTTGTCTATAAAATAAACTGACATTTTCATTCTCCTTACATAAATTTCCTAGGCCAAGAGATAGTATTTCCCTATAGGTACTTCGCGTTAAATGAAAAGAAAAACAACCTTTTATATTTACATGTTCACCTAATATACATGCGATTGCATTTATAGCTGTCTTTTCGAAGTCAACATGAAAAGTAACATATTATTAGAGTCTGGGATACAAATTTTGATTATAGCATGCATTATAAGTACCTCATGAGTGTAACATATGTTCATAAGTAGATTAACTAGTAATATGACTTATTATATTATAATATACTTTATATATTTACAGTAAGTACTGAAGGATTTCAAACCGTTGATGACTCGATAGGAGTGGAAGATACATCAGACAGAGAACGACGAAGAGGCGTGTGGCAGGCAGCGACCCTTAATGGGCCGTAAGCTGACTATGAAGAATATACCTTATATACT